ATCGCTTTTTTTTTGGAGCCCCCCTGCCATAGATAATAGACTGCATATACTGTATATAGGCATACATAACATTATATATAAAACATATATATTATATATAATGTCCATTTTTGTGTTGCTAACAGAACTATCTGAGCCTGGGGGTTTTTATAAAGAAGACAGAAGTTTATTTACAAACTCATAATTCTGGTAGCTGGAAAGTCCAAAGTTCTAGGCCTATAGCATGGCCAATGGAAGCACAGAGGATGGCATGTGTGTGCAGAGAGACATGGAGCTCCTGCCTTATCTCTTTTTTTTATAACAACCAGCTCTTGTGAGAACTAACTCCTCCTCATAAAAGCTAGAACTCATTTGGTCTCATGAGACATCTTTTATCTATTTGTGAGACTCTTGTCTCCATGATGTAATCACCATGAACCAATCACAGCCCACTCCACCTTATTCGGGGAAACATGAATGAATTGAATTTTCACTTAATACCTTTCCAAACACACAATACAGTCAAGTCTCAACACGAGGGACATATTCAAACCATAGCAATATACATAATGACACACACATGCACGCGCACACACACACTCTGTATAACGTATATACACAAGCATGATTTATAAAATACCAATCGACCGATCTGTATTGGCTAACACTTTATGGTCTAGAGGCAGGGCAGGCAAGTCTGACTTTTTTTCAAGAAATGCTGACAAACTCTTTAGCCACAATGAGCCTTGCTGAGTCCAGTACTGGAAGTAAGTCTTGCTTACCTTTTTTATGTACTATCTTAGAAAATGTTTCAAGTGAAACAAAGAGACTGGGAGGTGCCAAATGAGATCTTTGAGCTCACAACTGGCTAGTTTTGGTTAGCACACAATCCCTGGGCAGTAGCCTCTGATATGAAAATCATTTTTCAAAATAGATACCAGGTCTTGAATTGCTGTAAGAACTGGTCATTAGAGATCAATCTAAAATGGTCACCCAAGCCATTTTGTAATCTCTGAAAGGTCTCCCTTTGTAATAAGGTTTTCCAAAGTGCATAAATACACCAAAGTGCATAAATACATGAATGTCGCGCCTGCTCACCCTGTTCTCAATGTTTTTTCCTCTTATTCAATGGGTGTAAGGCAAGATGAAACACATTAGATCCCATTCCAGACTTTATTCTTTTGGCCAAGGGGTCATCAAACTTTTCTTTTAAAGATCAGATGATAAGTATTTTAGGCTTTATAGGCCAAGAGGCACATTTCAGATATTTTTTAGCTATAATATTTACACAGGAAGATAAAAACAAATTTCCACAATTATTGTATTGATAACATTTCTAATAATGAGAAGAAAGTAATTATTTTTGGAGTTGATAACACTATGCTTAACTGAAGTTTAAAGTTAGTGTTCTTTACCATCAAATCAGGGACCAGTAGATGGCATAATGTTACTTCACTGGACTCCCATGTAGTTGACCACAGTTCGAGTCCCAGACCTGGCAGCTTAAATGTCACGCTTGATATGTATGCGTGTGTGCCCAAAATCCCAAGAGGAGAATGGAGGAGAAGGGTATTGGCTAACACTTTATGGTCTAGAGGCAGGGCATGCAAGTCTGACTTGCAGTGTGACCATTCCCCCTGGGGGGTGATTTCTTGCTTTCTGTCTCTCTGTCTCTCCTGCAAGCGCACACACCTATAGCAAAAATCTCTCTTAAAAAAACCCAAAACACACACACACACAGAGAGAGAGAGAGAGAGAGAGAGAGAGAGAGAGATCAAATCAATTGTAATTGTTTATCTTTAAAAGTTCTTTTTTCACATTGGCCCAAATTTGGCTCAGAGGTCACAGTTTGTGGAGCCCTGGTCTTAGTTAAAGTTTTTGAGGTCCTCACTATGCGATCTTAAAGTTTGATTCACTTATTAGATCAAATGAGGAAAATTAAAATTTCCAGCCTCATGGACGCTCATCATCTATTCACTCATTCATTCAATATTTATTGAGCTTATACTATATTTCAGGTGCTGGATGAGGTACAGGGACACCCAGGAGAAAGATATCCTCTTTGAGACCATAGCCTGGAGGGAACCACACCTATCCGCACTATGATGCTATCTCTGAAATGTGTGGGGAAAAGTGAAGCAATACTCATGTTATTTACCCACATCTGGGAATTATACAACAAAATATGGGTTTGTGAAATCCCAAATTGGGTAAAAATGTGTTGTAAAGTTATTTTCAAAAAGACTGCACTAGGAGCCAGCAGGTGGCATGGTGGTTAAGGCAGCTGGATCCTGAAAGAGTCCCTGACCTGGCAGTGTGATGAACATGTTGGGCACATGTGCATGCATGCCCAAAATTCCAGGAGGAGAATGGATTTTGGTATGACTACCCACGCTGAGGAGTGCTTTCTCACTTTCCTCTCTTTCTCCCAGTCTCTGTCTATCTCTGGGAAGTGCATGTGCCATATAGGGGAAAAAAAAAAAAGAATAAGCTTAAGTTTTCTCAATAAAGGGAAAAAAGTCCCATTTTCTCTCCCTCATTTCCCCTCAATCCTGCTCTCCAAAATAACTGCTATTAACGTTTTGATGAGAGAAAGTGGTCAGATATGGAGGATCTACTGCTGAGTGAAGTAAGCCAAGATATGAAAGAAATATATTACATGTATCCACTTAATATATACCGACTATCCACATTCTGTGGTAGAGATCAAAATATTGGAGGGCATAAAAGCAGTGAAAATACTTAATGATGATAAGGTAGTGTGGAGTGGGGCAGGGGAAGAGAAGAGTATGGAGAAGGATAGCAAGAGGACAAATAGAGAGGCATGACACTAGTGGGACACAGATATGGTTTATTACCTGTGGATGATGACGTGTATAATTTTCTCAACTGGGTTGGTCTGAGAAGTATTTCATATTGGGTAAAGTCTTTTTACAAGCAAAATGAGAAATAGTGATTGACTGTTCAAAAAAATAATTGGGGGAACCAGCAGTTAGCGTAATGGCTATGTCGCTGGACTCCCACGTAGTCGCCCGTGGTTCGCGTCCCGGACCTGGTGGCTTAAAACTCCCAAGATCCCGAGAGGAGAATGGAGGAGAAGGGATTGCGGCGTGACCATCCCCCCGGGGGGTGATTTCTCGCTTTCTGTCTCTAATGTCTCTCTCTTTCTGTCTGGCGAGCGCACGCACACTATAGCAAAAATCCCTCCCAAAAAAAAGAAAAGGAAAAAGAAAAAAAAGAATTGGAATAATAATAAGAATAATCAGGAAAAAATGAAAAGCTATTGGATGATGAAGATGGGGATTTTAATGTCTCTGTATTGACTGATAGGCATGGTATTCCTTATAGAAAAAGAAATGTAATACACTGTAAAGTTATATGTGATTCAATGTAATATAAAGATTCTGATAATAAATAAATAAAAACTTTAGGATATTTAAGAGTGGTACTAAAATAAGACTACTCCATCATCTTTTATATCTGAAAAGTAAAAAGCATCGTTCTGTGCAGATGGCAGTGAGAGCAGGCTGAATGAAAATGCCTCTTCTAAACTATGCGTACAACATGGAGTATCATTTAAGAAAGAGCGAAATCATCTGGCAATAGCAGTGAGACACACAAAGTATTACACTTCAAACGCTGGGGGAGAAATTTAAATCCACTAGCTCAGTGGTCAGAGGGTTCAGAATCTCATTTTTAAATAAAGCATTTTGCTTTCTAAAAATAAAAAAAGAAAACCATTTTGATGAGGATCCTGGAAGCCACTCCTCACTCCTCCCCTGGTGCACACACATATACAAACTCACAAAAAATGTATAAATTTGGCTTAGTAACCTAAGTATAACCTAAATATAACTATTTAAATAATTTTATAAATGGCTTTTTCCCCAACTTCAGTTTCAAAATTTGAAAGCAGAGTCAATAAATGATTTGGCAACAGTTAAGAAATTGCAAGTTTCCTTCTTCTCACATAAACTTCTGCAAACCACATGCTACGTTCTGCTGATGGCAAACTGGCCCATTGCAGGAAGCAGGTCAGTTTCTCTTCTCCACGCACCTACTGCATACAGGGACCAGTCTACGCTGCTGCAAGTTGCGGGGTGAGAAATTAGAAAAAAACATCAGCTGAAAAAAGGTAAGCCACTTCTATTCTTTTAGCAAAGCTTTCAAACAAAATATGTGATTTCTGACCCAGAAATCTGGGTTGGTGGCAAACGATGCAAACAAAAAAAGCCATGGTAGGGTAAATAAGTATAAGAGGGTAAAGTATCAAAGCAACTCTAAATGTAAGCAAAACAGCTTGGTATGCTCTTTAATTTGCTCATTCATTAACATAAAGTAATTAGTAAATTTTGAAAGTCAAACATAATGGCAATCTTACTCATTTAAAACAGAAAAACAAGAGAATTCCAAGTTAGAAATTGAACTAAAATATTATCCTTTGGAAATGCCAGAGACAATATTCTCTTTGGAGCAACAACGCTGGGGGCAAACGTTTTAAATCTGCTATTTCTGTAGAAAAGTACAAACTAACTTCCCTCACTTACATGAGTCAGTTGCTAGAGTTTAGTGAAGCAGAAGGTTAATAGTACTACCAGAAGCTTAAAGGTGAATATCAATTGCTATTTTTCTTGTTCAGAGTTTTAAAGGAACATGTGGCTATTTCTATAATGATTGTTCTACAATGTCTAGACATAGCAGGTCATTTACTTTTGATATTGTCAAGAACCGTCAGATTGAAAAGAAACCTTCATGATTCTTTTAAATGATATATTTTCTAGAAAATTCAATGAGATTTAAAAGCAAATTCAAAGTGTCATTTCAAGAGATTCTCATCCCAAATATACCATATATATTTTCCCACATACTTTTGTCATACTCATTTAGTGCTTTTTAAAGTCATTAGAGTCATTTTTATAACCATATAATGTATACTTGTATTTTTTTGAAGTTAATCTTTATGCCAACTTATTGTCCATTAGGGATCTTGAGTGCAAATTAATTCTGCACTTAAATTTTATGATGCTTTACAAAATGACTGTAGTTATTTTGACCCATGCAGAATGGGCCAGTTGAGTCCATGACATGCACACATGGAATTGTAGTTGAAGCAGTCCAATTTCTATTTGATATTTATAAATTGTTTTGACAGCCAATATAAGTATATTAGGAGAAAGTGGAGAATTGGATAATCAAATCAAATTAAACTTGTAAAACTGTCTACCCTGCATTCGCTGGTGGCAGATGGAGGTCAAGGCTGGGCTGACTCTGGCTTCAGAGCAGAGGATCTCAGATTGGCCACACAGTAGAATCACATTTGAGCTTGAAAGAGTTGTGAGGCCCAGGCTGAATCACGACCAATGAGATCACAATCTCTGGGTAGAGCTGGGCCTGGGCATCTGTAGCTTATTTTTTTCTCCAAGAGAGATTTTTGCAATAGGGCTCATGAACTCACCGGAGACACAGAGAGACAGAAAGCGAGAAATCACCTCCAGGGGGGATGGCCATGCTGCAATCCCTTCTCCCCCATTCTCCTTTCAGGATTTTGGGCATGCACACACACACATGCCTGTTGTAAGTTTCAAGCATCCAAATCTGGGATTTGAACCACCTTCAGCCATATGGGAGTCCAGCAACATAACCATTATGCCATCTGCTGGTCCCATCTATAGCTTTTTAAATTCCCAGTTTTCTCCCATGTGCAGCAGAGGTTAGAACACTGCCTTAGAAAAACATGTGAACAGTTTCTGATGCTTTCATTAAAGAATAGGGTCCTCTTTTAGGGATGGTGAGAAGACCCCAGGAAGACTGAAGCTTATTCATTAGCCCCTTGGTTTGATCTCAGAAAGTAAAATAAAAGTTCCAAGTAAAGGGCCAGCCCCACAGTACAGTGGCTAGCACTGTGTATTAGGAGCCAGTTCCCACATGGCCAACCCCAGACTGAAGTCCAGCCTCAGTGACTTGAAAAACATACCAGGCACTCCTACATGCCCAAAAGTCTGACAAGAAAGAGAAATGGAAGAAAAGGATTGTAACATGGTCACACCCCATTGGTATGGGAGGTACCTTCTCTTTCTCTGTCTCTGGAAAGTGCATGTGCCCTCTGGCAATAAAAAAAAATTAAAATTAAAAAATGATTTTAAAAAGCTAGAAAGCTGGGAACCAGCAGTTGGCGTAATGACTATGTCACTGGACTCCCACGTAGTTGACCGCGGTTCGAGTCCCGGACCCGGTGGCTTAAAACTCACGCTGGGCGCGTGTGCGTGCGTGCCCAAGATCCTGAGAGGAGAATGGAGGAGAAGGGACTGCTGCGTGACCATCCCCCTGGGGAGTGATTCTTTCTGTCTCTATGTCTCTCTCTGTCTGTCTGGTGAGCGCACGTGCCCTATAGCAAAAACCTCTCCAAAAAAAAAAAGTTAGAAAGCTAAGACCATTCCCTGAGGGTCAGCGTGAGCCTTGGGGCTATCCACAGTGGGGGAGGGCTGCAGGCAGGGCAGAGGCCAGGTGTGTGAGTACAGGGAGTAAGGGTGAGGGCAGTCGATGGAGTTCATCCTCTTCCTTCAATCACTACTTTCATATAATAGTCCTAAATACTACACAGAATTTATGAGAGAGAAAAGGCAGTCCTGTGGAAAAACCCAGATCCCCTAGAGTATCAGGGTATGCCTTGAAAGGAAAGCTATCATTGCTCTTAGTCTTTGAAACTAAGCTGAATATTACTTGTAAGTGCATCTTAGTGTCCCACAGAGGGGAACATCATTCCAGTGGAACATATTTTGAATTCAACTAAGTTGAATTAAATGGAATTGAATAATTTGTTATTTTTAAACTATTAGCCCTGATTTATGACTATTTGAGGCTCTAAAGACAGAGGACATTTAAATCTGTGGTTGTGGATCAACATTAGCAAATAGAGGTTGTGCTGACTTTTCAGATGGTACAAAGAGCTGCTTGTTGGTGCACACGTCAAAAATCAGTGGACTTCCTGTTGTTCTACAGAATGACAGAGAACCTGGAGGTTCTCTGTGGTAGCACTTGGTGCAGGAAGGCGAGGGGAAAAGTCTGCCTCTCGCGTTTGAATCCTGGAGGTTTCCAGGTTGGCTACAAAGTCTGCTGACAAATGAAACCAGATCATTGCCAACCAGCTCCTTGGTTCCAGGCCTGATTTGTTAAGTGTTCTGTAGATCTGGGCTCAGCTTCAGCTCTGACCTACTTGTGACAAGTGACCTTGGGTCAATTAACCTCTCTATGCTTCAGGTCTGTTGGCAAATTATGGTGCATGATAAGCCCCCACTTTGTTGATTTTTACGGGATTCAGTGAGAAAATACATGACTTGTGCTCACTCTGTTTTGGCCTCATGGTAAAACACTCAACAAACGCTTTGTTCCATATTTCCCAGGATCCAGAGAGCATAATTTTTCATGTTTTTATAGATATGAAATCAGGATCTGTCTCTTCACTGATTGATACATTTAATGTGGTTGTGTTTTCTTTTATCTTCCAAAGCTGTTGGTGAATCCATCAAATTTCCAATGGGTAAATTAAAATAAGTATTTATTAATTGTAAATTTCATCTAACATGACAAACCTTACCTGCATAACCATCTCTTAATAATCCGCTTTCTAAATGAATCAGTCATCAACATTATCAACTGCAAATGAGTCAGAATTCATTAAAAATTAGAAATATTTCCAGTTTGGCAAAAATTCAGTGATGGTTGAATCCTACATTATAACAAAACAGCTAAGTAATTCAGTTGGAGGGAGGATTAATCATTAGGTCTTCTTGACACGTTAGTGTTAGAGGGCTCACCAGGACCCATCTGATGCAGGAGTGCCACTGGCAAGATCGTCTGAGGTAAATCATATCTCGTCAAAGAAAAATCCGGTTGACCCTGAAGGAAACCTTTGAAGGTGAAGGGAGGGTCATTGTTACCAAATAGCTTCCTGAAGCCCCAGAAAGGACCATGGAAAGATAAAGTGTTTAGTTCAGGCTGGCAGCTTGCGGCCCCAGACAATCTTCACCACAGATGGGGTAGGGTTTATTGGAGCCTCTTCTTGGAGTGCCAGTGCCTTCGTGCCTGAACATCTGCCCACCCTGCAGCCCTTTCCCACTGCAAGGTCTGCAGGTGGCCCCTCGGATCATTCAAACTGGAGTTTGAATGGGAGTGAGTTTTCACTGGGGCAGGTTTTCTCAGCTTTTCTCGAACCATGCTGGTCTTTTTAAAATGTGTGTTTTGTTGCTGGAGAGAACTGGAAGAAAAAGGATTGTGACATGACCAGGTCGTTTGGTCGGTCTGTCTGTCTGCCTGCCTTTCTCCCTCTCTCATAAACTGGTGCCCTTTAGCATGAAAGAAAGAAAGAAAGAAAGAAAGAAAGAAAGAAAGAAAGAAAGAAAGAAAGAAAGAAAGAAAGAAAGAAAGAAAGAAAGAAAGAAAGAGAAAAAAACAGAAAAGAGAAAGAAAGAAAGAAAAAAGAAAAAAGAAAAAGGAAGTGTCATGGTGGTTAAGGCGTTGGACTCCCACATAGCTGACCACAGTACAAGTCCCAGACCCAGTGCTTAAAAATCACCCCAGGGCATGTGCACGTGTGCCCCAAATCGGGGGTGGAGAATGAAGGAGAAGAGATTGCAGCATGGCCATCCCCCCGGGTGGTGATTTCTCGCTTTCCCTGTCTGTCTGTCTCTGGCATGCACACACACCCTATGCAAAAATCTTAAAAAAAAAAAAAAAAGGAAGAAAAATGTTTGTTGTTCATTGAGGTCCATTCTGAGAAGGGAGATTTGAGAGAGAACTGGCGAGTCATATGATACGGACTTGATGAAAGAATAGATCGTGCATAGAAAAGAGAAAACCCTTGTGAAATTGTTTCCTCTAAAACAACCACTGCGTTTGGCAGTGAGAGGGGGAAGTTAAGCAACTTTCTTTTTCTTCTGCTGCTGCTCTTTTTTTGCCATAGGGCGGGCACCACCACGCTCTGCTGCTCTTTTTTATTTTGTTGTTTTGTTTTGGTGCTTTTTTTTTTTTTAATTGTGGTTGCTGTTGTTGTTCATGGTTCACCTGCTTTCTTTAAAGAAATGAATTCTGTGTTTTCTCTGGGTGCCCTACAGCAACCCAGAGACAGACCTAGACCAC